GAGAGAGAGTGAGAGAGAGAGGGGGGGGTTGCTTGTCTTTCTTCTTTTCTTTTTTTTTGGAGGGGGGGGAAGGAGGGAGTGAAACCAGGAGGGAAAGAAAAGATAGAGAGAAAGATAGAGAGAAAGATAGTCCCAAACTCACCCCGTCGTCATGTGCTATCTATAGCCCTTTCTTGGCGTTATAAAGATCCCAAACTTACCATGTCGTCACATGCTATCCATGGCCCTTTGTTGGTTTTTTTAAAGATCCCGAACTTACCACGTCATCATGCGCTATCCATAGCTCTTTCTTAGCATTAGATCCCAAACTTACCACATTGTCAAGTGCTATCCATAGCCCTTTCTTGGCGTTATAAAGATCCCAAACTTACCACGTCGTCATGTGAATCTTTCTCCTTCTGTAACGATCGCAGCTGGGTCCTAATGGTGACCAGCTCCCCCTCAATCTTTGTTTTCTCCTCGATAATTTTGCGAATGGCCATGTCGTTAGGTGACCTTGAGGGGCTTCCATTACGCAGGGACTGAGCTCTGGGACCTGGCACATGGACGAGAGAAACCTTTACGTCAGAACGAAAATAATATGTGAGGCCTTGTGGTGAAATCAGGCGCTCGTCAAAATAATGAAATTGAAGAAACAGGCAAAAAGCATTTTTCCGACATTTTAGCAATTTTTATTGAATTTTTGTATTATGGCTTAACAGCTTTTAAGTCCATATAAAAACACATTTCCGTGTAAATCTGACTTTTAAAAAACCCTTCAATTAACCCTATCCGTACGTCGTGTTTTACTATCATATCTATACAACGTGGGGAACTCTGTACCACCACTTAATACTATCCATATGTCGTGTTTTACTATCATATCCATACGACGTGGGGAACTCTGTGATTGTTTCTACAAATAACACTCCTTATTTTCAACACTCATATGACCTACTTGTGTTACGAGTGCAAAAAAAATCCCAACCAACTAAAACTAAACGAAATCTAATTAAAACTTCAAAACAACAAAACAAACAAACAAACAAACGTGCGTCTACTCACTGTCTTTGTTTTCCTTCTCCCACGCCTCCTTCTCCTTGTGGAACTCCTCCTCCTCCTGTTCCAGGTCGGCTCTCCGGTTGTCCAGCTCCTGCCGCGCCTTTTGCACCCCCTCCTTCTCCCGCCGCACCTCCTCCTTCTCCTCCCTCACCCCCTCCTTCTCCTGCTGCACCTCCTGTTTCTCCTTCGCGAGAGCCTCCTGTTCCGTGTCCACCTCCCCCTGTAGCTGACTCAGCTTGGCCGTCTGTTTCTTCACACTCGCTCTGAGCATACAGGAGCAACATGGTAAGCAGAATAGCAATAATAATAATAATTATTGTTATTTTTATTATAATTATA